TTTTTTGATCGATTGCGTAAAAATAATGTTCATTTTTAACCAAAACCTATGTACGTTATTAATATAAGTTAAAAACAAAGGATTGTGAACTGAAAAGTTGTGATACCTTTCAGTGGAAAAATTAATCACTTAAAATGGGGGTGGTTAGACGTTAACCTTTTTTAATAATATTTTAATAGGGACAGTCTGTATATGCTAATGAAAAAAATACGCAATTTGAATAAATAAAAGAAGTACAATTTTTCATGATCACAAGAAAAATGATATAAAATTACTTGATTGATATTCCCTTCGAAATATTTAAGAAAGATTTTTTAATTTAAAGAAAGAAAATTACTGTCAATTCATAATTTAAATTTGGTAAAACCTAAACTAGCCCTTTTATCCAAGTTATTTGATTTATATCTACTAAATAAAACAAAAAAAGTAATTAGAAATATTAAAAATACAACCCTGTATATCTAAATAAAAAACATTTTTTGATATAAACTAAAAAAATATCTAAGAACTGTACCTTGAGATACACCAGATGAAAGTATGGCTGGAACATTAATTTCATTTATTCTGTTATGTGCTCACGGAAACCTTAATTCTCAAATAAACCAAAAATAATACATAAAGATATATAAAATTTACAAATGACTAGTACACACTAATTCATCAATGGTCTCAATACAGTCCCAAATTAATAATTAAATTATTTAATTAATCTGTTCTTTTTTCCGAGGCTTTTTTCCCAGATTTTTGGACATGTTGAATCTCTATAAATGTCTGGGTAGTTAGCGAGCTACTTCCTATATAAAACCCGTGAAATTTGGCCAGTTCTGGGCATAAAAAAAAAAGTGAAAATCCCTGGTATACAAAATTGATCATCTTTCCCTGTGCGGATCCTTCCTTAACCAGGGCAAAAAAATAATTAAACAATTCCCCATCGGTTTAAACAACCAACTTAAACAGTGAAATTCAAACAGATTCTGTGCAGTCAAAAACATTGAATTCTATGTCTGACTCTAAAAGAATTCGGCACAGAAGTTTTTTTTAGAACAATTTCGTTTCTAAAATCATAATTACAGAAAATTGAAGAATGAATTTATTCCGTACTTCATTGTTTCTTTTTTCTACTTGACGAGAAGGTGGATTTTCTATTGAGGGCCGAGAAGTTTTATGCCGAATGGAAAAAAGCTCCAACGAGCTTTTTTGATAGAACGGCTAAATAAAGTTCATTACTTGGAATTTTTGGGAAAAAGTTTTTGAATTTTTTACAAAACACTTATTAGTCACAGTCTAGCCCGTGAACAAACAATTAATTACATATGAGCGTGTTAAATATTCAAGTTCTTTCCTGTACTTTACAAATCACCGTCGCGAGTGGGACAAATGACTGAAATTTCGGACGTAAACTTTTGACCTAGTGTAACTTTCACAAAGCACCCAAGAGATTTATATTTTGCACATATTTTCAGTGATAAATCTAGATAATCTAAGCGAATTAAATCGGTTTAATCTGTCGAAAATCCATTAAAAAAACTAATATTACGGTTAACAAAGGACCTTCTAAACTATGTTTTGATGCTTTGTTTAATTAAATCCTATTAATTCGGTAGAAAAAAAAGGTAGTCAGGTATATGTTCCATTTGATTGGCTATATAAAATCTTGAAAAAGCCAATATTAATTTTAATCCCACTCCAATAAAGTGAGAGTATTTTTTTTCCATTTAACAGTTTCGTTTCTAAAATCATAGTTACAGAAAATATGAATGAATTTATTCCATAAACTAAATTCACAATATATACATTTTAACCCTTAATATTCATTGTAAATCATATATGAGTTATCTCTAAAATTGATTCTTAAACATAAGAATTTATTTTAGAGTTATGAAAAATTAATGTTATATATAAATATTTATAGAAATATATATAGAATAATTATAATATTAATAGAAATACATAAAACAAATATAAAAAAATTAATGTGTATATACTTACATTTCTATCCTGTTCCGTTTTGACAGTAGGCACGGAATTCTAACTTTTATTCATTTAATTGAGTTGTGCTTATCAGAAAAGAATGTTGGAACATGTACAAATAAAACATAGGCGGATCAATTTAACGATAGCGATTACCTGAAATGCCCTAAACGTCTCAATGTGCGGTGGCCAGGGGAAAAGCGTTATTTTCTTAAATCGAACCCTCTGGTTTTTCGCACGTGTATTCGGTGCCATTTTTGCTGCAGCCCGGAGGTAAAAAAAAGAAGAGAAAAACGTCAATCCGAGTAAAACGATAATGTCTCGTTCGACGTAGCACGATAAGAATCTGCAACGCCCCCTGCCTCTAGTAAAGACCCTGGTTATCCTTTTTCCTCGAATATCTAAATCTACGAAGTAACTGGATAATAGACATTTTCATTATAAAACATCGATTAAATAAATCGTGATTAATTTATTTAAAAACAATAGAATTCAGAATCAATGAAATTATGCATTAATCTGTTTAATTTCCCTTCATAATTTTAAATACACTGAAAGGCAAAACATTCCGCCCATTTGTAATATAATATATTTTATATATTAATCAAAGTTTCAAATTCCAAAGTTTTAAATTTAATAATTGAGTCTTTGACAAAAAAAAGTATAAAAAATGTAAATTGCCAAGGAAAATAAAAAATTACAAAATTTACAAAACGGGCAGATAAAATTTGTTTTAATTCAGTATTAGATTTTTAATTAACATTTCAATATCGCGTATTTCCATTTCTTCCCTGAATTACATTCCTGGAAATGTCTCTTTGCTGGAGGTTGGCACATTCTTTACGAAGAGTCCTTTCAAGATCGTGATTGAGGTTATCCTATAAATGTTCCATGGGGGTCAAGTCTGAAAAGGGACTGGACAAGACCCTAATGTTATGCTGTTGAAGGTTTGTACTATGCGAGTGACATGTAGACGGTCATTATCGTGTATTAGAAACGGATTGTCGCCGATTTCATCGAGGATAGGCTGCGCATGATGTTCCAAAATTTCACATAGCCAGTGGCTGTCAAAGACCTTCTACGAACAAAAAGCAACTCTGTGCAACTATCCATCGAAATTCTCGCTTTACCATCACTGGGCTGCGTTGAAAAAGTTGGCTCTGGGAAAAATTACAGGCGTAGAGCAAATCTACACTCATCTGTAAAACAGTAGATCAATTGTACAAAGAAAAATGGATGTGTTCTCGAGCAAATGCGAGCCGTGCAACTCCGTGTGTTCTGGTCAGTACTGGTTCTCTAACGGGGCGAAACGTCCATACTGATTTAATTTTCTTCGAGCAGGGCATTCAGAAATTTGCACACCTCGAACTTCCTGGAGGTGATGAATCGCTTGAACAACAGTACGGTGCCGGTTTCGCAAATTTCTCAGTCAAAAAACGGTAGTCCTGTCGTTCTGTTACCCTAGGGCGTCCAGAACCGGGCCTTCTATGGTAGGACCCAGTTTCTCGAAAACGTTTCACAGCGTCTCTGAGGACTTTAGATTGAAAGGATTGGAGACGTTGGATGTTGGAAGGTTTAGCGGTTCCCCACAGTTCTATTCCGTACGTCCAAATCGGTTGTAGTAGTGTTTTGTAAATTGTAAGCTTGTTTTTTGTCGATAGTTTAGACTGTCGTCCTATAAGTCTGTGCAGTAGACCATACCGTCTGTTTAGGTTTTGTCGTGTCAGTCGTGTATGTTGATTCCACGTTAGTCGTGAGTCTAGGTGGAACCCAAGGTAGCGAACGCAGTCGGATTTGGGGATAGGAACGATGTTGTAGTATATCGTGAGAGGAGGTTTGCTTCGGAGTGTAAATGTGACATGGACGCTCTTGCTTTCGTTTATCATCATTTTCCATTGTCTACACCAATCTGCTATACATGAGATATGCTCCTGCAGATCTTCCGAAGCAACCGCAGGATCGGAATTGGAGGATAGTACAGCTGTATCATCGGCGAAGGATGCAAGTAGGGTGGTAGGTTTAGTGGGAATATCTGCAGTATAAAGGATGAAGAGGATTGGTCCGAACACACTGCCCTGCGGTACTCCCGCAGCCAGAGAGCAGTATTCTGAGTAATCTGATCCTTGTCGGACCCGAAAGAACCGCTCTGTTAGATAAGAGCGGAGGATTAGGTGAAGAGTATTTGGAAGGACACGCTTTAATTTGTACAGGACTCCCTTGTCCCACACGCGGTCAAACGCTTGTGCCGTATCAAGGAAAGCTCCCATACAATATTTTTTGCGCTCGAGGGAGGAGGATATACGGTCAACAACTCGAAACACCTACTGGACTGTGGAATGGTGGGGTTGGAAGCCAAACTGATGATCGGGGAGGAGGTTAGACTTTAATTGTGGCAATTTAATGAGAATTTTTTCAAATACCTTGGACTTGATGGGAAGTAAACTAATTGGTCTATAAGATGAGGATTTTTGAGCTGGTTTTCCAGGTTTCAGAAAGAGGATAATGTTAGAATATTTCCAAAGTAAGGGAAAATGGGTAGTGTTGACAGATTAATCGCAGAATTTTCTTTTATCAAGAAAATGAAAAAAATCAATTGGGTGGAATTTTTTGTATGTATTTATGTAATGTTAATAAATTAAACATTAAATAAATTTATTACTTTTACATTTCAATTAATTTCATTTTAATTAAAGAATTAAAAGGCACGATTGAGTGCGAAAGCCTTGCTTTTCAATGGATATTTAAAAATTATTGTTAGTGAGTAGGCTAAACCCGCAATACTTCCAAGTCGTGCCGAATTGTTGGCCTTGAGCGCCGTTTATTTGTCTCAATCCATTTATCAAAAACAACGATGTTTTTAAACATCTATACTTTTTTTGACTGTAAATATCATTTTTTTCATGTTTATTTTATTTTTGTGAATGGAAATGTATGGATAGTGAATCTGGTAATCTAGTAAATGAATCGTACTTTTAAATACATTTTGTTTTCAGCGTTGTTTTTATCACTTTTTTTCTGTGTGTTTATAGCTTGTCCGTTGTAGTAATGCATATGGTCCAACACAACTCCTGCTAGACAACGTAAATATAATGACATAAATAGATAAAATATTTTCCAGAAATGAATGTTTTCATTACGACTATGTTAATAAGAATTTCCCTACTTTATTTTTTCCCTTAAATTTTAATAGCGACAAAAAGAAAAAGTGACTTTTTTTAAAGTACAATAAGATTAAAATAAATCAAGGAAATAATTGTCTGAATAAACATGGAGAGAATATTAAAAATTGAGATTTTGTTTGGCTAGAGCAACCGGGTATCGTTTATGCTAATACCAAACACCCACGTTATACCGAATCTCCAAGAGGGAGTACTTTAGGAGAATTTACTTTAAGTCCTCCTTTTGATTTACAACAGCTAAGCTCTTACACCTCGATAAATCACGACATATATAACTGGGAAGCTTAAGACAGTGTAGAAATTACATTGCACTGTTCCTTACAAAATAATAACTTTGAGCGTTATCGATCCGGCCCCAATCCGTATAACACCTTTTTCATCCCCTATTATTTTTATTACGGATATACAAGCACTTATGGTATCGATGTCAAGTGGCTATCATTCATAGTAAAGAGGTTAGTGAGACTTATTTTGTTTTTATTACGGTGTTTGATTACGAATTTAACGCTCTTTTGTCTGCTCATAAAAATTGTATGGATTTGATTAGAAATAGTAGGTTTCGACTTGTTCGTTACTAACCCACTTTTCTTTATGGAATAATTTATAGGTACGACGGATCGATGTTCAATTTTTCCTTTTAAATATTGATTTTGTGTTGACAACAGAACTGATTTTTATTCATTGATATTTATTCAGTCTATCTCAAGAAAAAGAAAATACTGAAAAATGAAAAAATAAAGAAATAAAACTTTTCTTGTTAATTTAATTAATAAAGATCAGTTTTTCAACCAATGTTATCATTAGTCGATCTATTTTATCCGATAATTGGTTATTTATAATATCATTGTTAGATATCTCAGAATATAATTTATTCATACTGCATTGCTACTAGCTACAAAAATTCCTCGGAATCGCTGAGCTTTTTTTATTGAACATAGAAAAAATAGAGCCGTTTTTTTCAGGTATTTCGTCTTGGCAGGTGATGATTGGAGATGGGAAAAATGAGTTAGCGTCGGTAACTGGTTCTGGTTTATTAGGGGTGGTCGTCAGGGAAAAAAGTCCGTTTTATTGGAGGTCCGCCCACGTGCAAAACAAAGCAAATAATAGATATTGCTCGCTTCCCCGCTTTCGAGCGCTCACCTGCTCATAAGCTTTAATCGATTTTACTAGTCAATCATAAACTCCTCTCCGGATAATCTTTTTTAATCCGAGATTAATATCACGCGAGGGGGTTGTCGACAAAGGGCAGTTCAAAAAGCAGTAACAATCAAATTTTTTTTGATCTTTGATAAAATATTTACACGTTAGAGATTTATTGCACGAGGGTTGTTGAGTAAAGCTCTGTGAAGTTTTCAATTCTCCCCTTTGATTAATTATTAAGTTCATCTCACAACTTTAATTTCGACGTTCAATTCTTTAATATTTTCCTTGAGGAAAAAATGAAGTCACTAATGAAGTTTTGAACAATATAAAATTGTGTTTATATCACCTCGTCCAAATTAAGGGTTGAACGTCACCCCCGTGGCATAGAGCATACCATGTGCACCCTTCCCTTACCCTAAGCAGTCCGCTGCTTATTAAAATGTGTTATATTTATGTCAGATCGCAACGAATACATGTTGGTAATGATCTAGGAATCATTAAATAACCGTGTGTATAACGTGTGCCTTATTCTAAGACTTATGAAGAAGGACTCAAAAGTCTTTTTTAATAACTAGTCTCTGGTTTAAATGCGCATTAATAGTTTTTTTTAATCTTCTTTAAAATTGCTTGCCGTTTTTAAATATGAATAAAAATTATTATGAATTTATGGCTCTGTACGCTCATATGTGGCTGCTAGATCTTTACTACTTTACTTTATAAATGGTGCGATCGGGGATGTGGTCCAATGAGTACCATGGTATTGAGAGAATGTCAAGATTTCGGTTTTATTTAACCTTCCTCACGGTTTTTTTTTAATTTCGAAAATTAACAAATCAATTAGTTTCAGGATAATTATGTTGTTTTTTCCATGATTTACTTTCTAAAAATTTTTGTCCCAAAAACAATCCTCTTGCGATGTGATAGATTTTGGGCATTGTTTTTTTTTTTTTTTTTTTTTTTTTTTTTTTTTTTTTTTTTTTTTTTTTTTTTTTTTTTTTTTTTTTTTTTTNGGTGGCCGTGTGTCAACCGTGTATGGCCTATTCTTAATCGCGTTAGGACGATTTTGGGCATTGTTGTAGTAGGAACCGTAATATCAACGAGTATCTTAGGAAAGTAGGCATGGTGGCAATAGAGCAACGATGGAATTTACTCATTGAACAAAATTGATCCAAAAAATTTCTTGCCAAAATTTGGAAATAAGAAAAAATCCACACATTAACAGGATTACTACACTGAGGAGTGAATACACATTTGAGGAATGTAGGGGATCCCACGAAATAAACAAATCGGTTATCGATTCATTGGATGTTATCCGGCTTGTGCAGTTGAACGGTGAATCGCTGCAACTATCCCTGGTAGGCAGATATCCAAAACTTTCTCCCGCCGGCGTCTAAGAAACATTGGTCCTCCGGGCCGGATAACCAATTCCTTTGTTATAAAATACTAATGTGCGTATATAAATACTTAAATAATATTTGATTGCGAGTATCTACAATATTTCAAAAACAGTGGGCGATACGTGCCATTTAGAAAAATAATAGTATATGCTAAAAATAATATTTAAAATTTTTTTTCAAAAAACGCTACAAAACTACTACACATAAAACCAAAATATAGTATCAAAATGTTAAATCTCTTACGCAACTATCCGGCCCAGAGGACCAATGTTTCGTAGACGCCGGCGGGAGAAAGTATTGTATATCTACCCTCCAAGCCCGGGCGCTATCAGGGATAGTTGCCGGCTGTTGCGTAAAGGATGTAGTGAAAATAAAAATGTAATAATCCGTTTAATAATTACCTTCATTAATTGACAATTTAGGATACGAATAAGGAAACTGAATTCTGGCCAGAAACAACTTAAACAAAGTTAACGAGAAAGAAATGTATATATAGAGAGAGAGATAAGTTGATACACAATGTTAAAAAGACAAAGAATAAGGACGTTCGTACATCTTGTGTCGACTCAGGGCATAGTGAAGATCAGAAGATAAGTTCGTGCTTATCTTGATTGGAGTCTGGGAGCCACTCACCGGACGAAGCCAAAGGTGCGTTCGTGCGTACCCGTCGGAAACCAGGGAGCGACTGACCGTTTTTAGGATGTCTTGCTGAAAAAGACGTGTTTCTCCCTCCAGCGTCTTGATTTTTTACAAATTTTCTGTTTTTATAATTTTTTGAAATGATACATTTAAGATGTTAAATGATATTATTTTTAGTTAACTATTAATAAATGAAATTGTTTACATTGGCGTAAACTCATCAATATTTTGAAAAATTGTTTTAGAAGGGAATCCCACATGGACTTCTTTTCTGTCTTTCTCTAAATTCTTCTCTGTCGACAATCATCTCTCCGACAAACGTATCTATCTGGTTTCTGATATGTCAAAACGCTTGTAGGGGACACATTAAATGTGTAAACATGAGGCACTGTTGTGGCTTATTTGTGACAAAAGCATGAATATTGTCATCATCAACGGTTGTAAGATCTTCCAAATCAAAGCCGAAATTTGCTGCAAAGTTTTTGGATTGTTTGTGTCCAACGAGTGGATTCCAATGTTTCCTAATTTTCGTTTTGTCCTTTTGCCTAAAATACACCCGACCCCCCGATACCGAAAAATACCCCCCGATAAGGGCTCAAGACTTATCTGCGGTATAGCAGCCCCTTTCCTAGTAGGGGGTCGGCTCTCTATTCCCCGATCTCTGGGGACGCAGCGGAGGGTGATTTCATTTTGAATAGGTAAATTAAGTTTAGGTTTGCAATTCAGCACCATTTGAGCTAATGATGTTTGAACTAAGTGCTTCGATGACGGCTTGGCTATCTGAAATGCTAGCTATGTTCTTGTTTTTGTACGATTTGTTCAGATTAAACTGGTACATAGACCTAACTTTAAAGGTATACGGACACCAAAGCACCTTGCGAGGTCTTTCTCCGTCCTGCCGGCCTGGCGACGAGCGTTTACCAGTGTTCACTATTAAGAAGTTCGGATGGTTTTTCAAAGCGCATGGTTTGTATTTTAATAATATTAAAATGTTTTAGGACTTTTAGGAGCAATTTATTTCTGGCTTAAAATTATTAAATCTATTAAATTTCTTCAATTATCATACATTTTTTTAACGAACGGTTCTTAAATTATACAGCTAGAGTTTTAAAATTTTTAAAGGAGCGTTTTAGAGGTGGTTGTTAACTGGGGAAAGTGAGCTAGTATTACAAACCAAATAGTTTACGTTTGTTCGAAGTTCAGAATTTCAAAGTTTCACTGGAGTTGAAATATTTGAGGGCCTGTTTATTTTAGCGAGACCAGGCGCTTTGTGATAATACAGTATACGTCGAATTCATCGGATTGTTTAGATAAAATCAAAACTTTTCACTTTTTCAACTTCAACTTTTTTCGAATAAAATTGTATCTTCTGTTTTAGTAGGTTGCAATTGAAAATCTTCGTTCATCGTTACAATTCCCAAAGTAGATAGAAGTTGACGGGAAGCTTCCTTTCCTTGACTTGCTTGTGATTAAGTAAGAGAAACAATTGTTAACCAATTGGTGTACCAAACCGCCCAATTCTGATAAGGTGTTAAATTATTCATCTGTTCACTCATTCAAAACGAAAATTAATATTAATATTGTACAGACTGATAGATAGGGCACTAAAACTTTGTGGTATTTGTTTCTATAAGGAAGTTCAATCTATGTTAATAGATATCCAAATTCATTAATAAACAGATTAATGAACAACAGAACGAGTGAAACTACAAAATAATCCCC